AGATAGATAGATAGATAGATAGATAGATAGATAGATAGATAGATAGATAGATAGACAGATAGATAGATAGATAGATAGATAGATAGGTAATTTGGCGGGTGCTCTGATGTGGTTTGCTCTTTCTTTCCTATCAAACATCTATCTTCTTTATCTCCCCTCCCTTTTTTCGGTGTTCGTTACTCTCTTGTAACACCTCCAATCTCCTGGCGCTCATATGACTTTATGCAGTTGCGAGCGCCGTAAAAGCTCTACTATAACAAACAAAAGTCTTTTTTTTTCAAAGTGCTGACCTCAGCAGGACTTTCCTATACGTCTGGATCCCTGCCATCTTGTAAAAGATTTCCATTTCGGTAAGTAGTCTGACGCTAATTCTCTTTTAGTTGTCTGTTACCTAAAATAGAAACACGACGGTTCTTCTCCACAGCTGTTCCTGGCTGAATTTGTTCGGATGTTTTAATAATTACCAGGCCTTTTGAATATTCATATATCTCCAAGATAATCATCTGGTAACTGACAGCGAGCCGAGTGTGAATGCTGGTACATGGGATCCGATCTCATCTTGTTCTATAGGCCGACCTTCTTCTTCAAAACGTTCACACAGGCTCATATGAGCTATCTAAAGACACGGTTTCATTTTCAAAGGTGCGTATTCTGTATAGTGACATGTAATACATTCACATACAAGCCATACTATTGACCAGTATAATGGGTCGCTTTTCAGCACAAGGGGGCTATCCCGAAAAATGCTGTTTTGAGAAAATCGAAGGTAACGTTTTTGAACCCCTGTTCAGTTTCTTTAAAAGACAAGGAGAGTTTTCTCTATAACTAAACAAATATACGCACCAATGAAACCAAACTTCTCATATAGGTATGGCAGTGCCCATTTTTGGTGTAGGTCCAGATTTCTGGAAACCCCAAAAATCTGAGTTAGCCCGCTTGTCCTTAAAGCGACCAATAACTGTAAAAGGGCCTTGTTAGTTCCTGTCAATTCATTCATACAAGTATCGATTTGGTGAAAAACTCGGAGGGCCCGTGTGCAAGTTGCGTACGTTAAAGATCCCTTGGTGGTCTAAAATCGATAAGAGTAGACTTCGGCCGCCACCCGGACAAAAATTCAAAATTTCCTACCAACTGAAAGAGCTTAATATGTCCCGCGCGCTCATATGACCTTATGAGTTGCGAGCGCCGTAAAACACTTACAAAAACAAACGTATTTGGTAAACGTCTACTTGAGCCCTCTACTTGGAGCTCACTTGACCTACTATACGTTCATCCAGTGTTTCCAAACTCCGAGGAGACAACAAGTGGGTCGTGATTACAGCGTGCGTGAAAGACGCAGGTATCTGATTTCCAGACCAGGGCAAGGGGCCCAAGTTAAAAAAAACCCAAGCAAAAGAACAACAAACAACAAAAACAATAATAACAACCAAAATAATTAAATTAGTCTCAGCAGCAGCAACAGCGGCAGCAGCAGAACACATAAACGAATAAAATACCTCTCCAATTCCATTCTGCAGTCAGGAAAAACCAAACAAAACAGAACAAAAACCTTACGGTGATTTTCGATCCTCTCTGTAAACGACACGTTGATAATTCCAGACTGGGACACTTTTTTTTACCTTTCTTTATAGGTCACCAGCCGCGGCGCCCGTAGAAAAAGAAGAAAGAATACTATTGCAATAATAATAATATGAAAATTCTTTGGCTAAGCGGTGGTAGCCAATAAAAACCGGGGGTGGCTCAGTCGGGAGTTGTCGCACCCATTGAATATCTCGCCCAGGGTGGAGGGCGGAGGAAAGAAGAGGCCGCGCGAGACAGCAGCGCTGGGGGGCGGAAGAAAAAACAGAAAAGCATGATTGTGTCGGCGTCTTCTGTTGTTGTAGTCTACAACAACTGGTTCTAGTCCTCCACACAGCACCCCCACCCCTCTCCCCCCCTCTCTCTCTGTCTCTGTCTGGCTCCCTACCTACTTCCCCTCCCTTACGCCCCCCCCCCTACCTACCTGGTCTTCTCTCACCCATTCGGCTTTGTGTTGCGGTGTGGTTTCGCAGACTAATAAATTCCTGGGAGAGCGTAGTGAGTGCGTGCACCTGACTGACTGTAAGTAGAAAACTCATCATCTTAGTTGCAATATAACTATTATTATCTTTGTCCTTCTTTAAAAAAAGAAACACTGACGGATTCTTTTACTGTCGCCGTGGACTGGTTTTCCAATCGCTGACGTGTGGATATTGTTGTTGCAGGTTTGTCCGCGTGCGTGTTTGCCATGTGTGTCCGTGTGTGTGTGATCGCGGTGCGGCGGGGGGATAGCTGGTGGTGGTGACGGTTACAGGTAGAACGGTGTACCTGAATGACAGGTGTGTGGGTATATTGAGGGAGTGCGTGCTAAGTTGGTTGGTTGGTCAAATCAAGATGATGGTGGTTGCTGGCCAGGTATAGATCTAGGGGTCAACTTTGTTTCGTTAGTTGTTTTTTTTAAAGTTTTAGTAGAGTTTTTTTTTTTTTACGGTGCTCGCAACTGCGTACGGTCATATGAGCGCCAAGGGGTGGATGTCAACAGAGAAGTCCTTACAGGGAATCAGACTTACTCTGCTCTCCTCTCTAGCTTCAACAGCATAAAGTCTGCGTTTGTTTCGTTATTGACTGCTGGTGGGAGACTGCTGGACCTGTGAGAGAGATGGAGAATTGCCGCGTTTTCTTTCTACGAATTATGAAACGTGAACTTTCGTACAATTTTGGGAGCCCAAACTACGCGTAGCAAAATATCAGTGGTGATGATGCATGCAATAGTTTAGTTTTAGTAAGGTTTTACGGCGCTCGCAAGTGCATAAGGTCACATGAGCGCTAAGTATGCAATATGACACATGTCCAGTAAATGAAAGACGAAATAAATGAATGTATGAATAAAAGAATGTATAAGTGGAAGAATTACGATTAGGTGGCTGGATACATAGATAACTGAAAGAATGAAGTGATGAATTGTATTAGTATTACTCTTTGAGTTATATCAGGCACCCCAAACCGCCCGTAACGCGGCCTCACTCACAGCGCGTGAGGCCAATGTTATTTCCCATGGCGGTTATCAGGCAAAATGCTTGGTTAATGTAACAAATCTGAACATAAATAAAAAGTTCAGTTCATTAACCACATGTAGTTTTGTTTATATGTGTGTGTGGGGAAGAGAGTTACAGGTTCGGGTTACAATATGCATTCTTATTGCACAATATAGATCTAGTTGCATTTAGATTATGTTTCCTTTGTACTCTACGTCTCCTGTTATTTGCTTTTCAGAAATGTCTTTGAGAATGGCTTTCTTTTGCCATAATATTGTGCTTGGCCTCGGACTTTAACTTTAAGAAATCCCGCTCCTTTTTCCCCTTTTCTTTTTCTTATTTTAGAACAACATAGCAAAAAATTGTATTTATTGCCTTCCGTGAAGTGGTATGTCCAAAAGGGTATAAGCAGCGGAACAAAGTAAGATAGAAGTAAGTAAAGAGTAAAGGTATGTCCTCAATAAGGGGACACATGATAACATGAGAAATAAATGTTAAAAAAAGCAAAACGTGGGTGGTTGGCGGGTGCTCTGGTGTCGTTTGCTCCTTCTTTCCTATCAAACATCTATCGTCCTTGTCTCCCCCTTCTTCTTTTTATGTTTGTTACTCTCTTGTAACACCTCTAATCTTCTGGGCGCTCATATGACCTTATGCAGTTGCATGGGCCGTAAAACCTTTACTAAAACTTAAAAAAAAACAAAAACAAAAAATAAAAACCGCAGGGTAGAAGTATCTGCAGGAGACAGGACGTGGTGTGTTGGGTACTGGGGAAAGGTCTACTATTGATCTGTTGGGCTGGAATCCAGACTGAGGGTTAGGTATTGGCAAATTGAAATCTGAATGAATGTGCCATTATGTGTAGTGAAGCGTGACAGGTTTGTGGGTGATTGAGCTGGTATATTAACGATGATAGTCGCGTTGTTATTTTTAAAAAATATTATTCTATTTTTTTAACAATGAAATGGATATTAGATTCTATCATAATATTATATTTGCGTATATGATATTACACAATAACATGATAATTCATAATAATGGTACCCGGAATATAATAAACCCATTACACAGACGCACGCACACACACACACACACACACACACACACACACACACACACACAAACACACACACACACGCGCACGCACATACAATGTAAACACACTCAAACACACATATAGCCCATTATATATATTATATATATACATGTAT